GATGTGCGCACATAAATTCGCGTCTTACATATAACTTAGAACTTCAATGGAAACAACATTCTTTGAGCTATACATTCTGCTCCTCTTACTATGAAATCGCAACACTCTTCGAAGGTGGCGGATGTCAACGCCAAAATCGAAGCATCTCCGGATCTTATCGCCTTACAGATACCGAACGTACCTGTAAGTATGGTTATAGAGCGCGGACCCAGGGTGGTCGATGCTGAGTGGGTCTCCGCCCAGATCGTCGTTACGAGTGGCGTGTTTCCAATCCAGGTCCTACCACATAGGACGTGTCGACCTAGGGCACCGTATCGAAACTGGCATGCCCTTTTCGACCGGGACGACGCCCCTCGTGCGGGCTTCCGCCTCGTCGACAAATTGAACAGTGCAAACGCTGTTTGGGCTTCCACGCCACCCGTGCTTGCTCTCGCGCTCCAGCCTGCTGGAACTGCGGATCTAACATGCACTCGGAAGCCGAGTGTAAGGCCCTCACTAAGTGTTGCAACTGTTGGGGACCTCACTGATCGGATTACCGGGACTGCCAAACCAGACCCAGAAAGTCGGGACCGATGACAAAAGAGCAGCTCGCATGGATAAGCCATATCTAGCAAGAGAGATTCACGGAGGTGGCACTAGCTCGGGTTGCAGCCAAAAAAGATGAAGAGGCGATGCAGGTCTCTGCAAAGGATGTCTGGATGGCCGAGAGAGCAGGTTTCGGAGTGCTAAAATGTGAAGAAGTTTGAGGCACAGCAACCTCGACGATGTCACTTTTGGGGCATTTACTAACCGATAGCAGTATACCGGCTGGATCAAATGTACCTGCTAACCAATCTCTTGTTCTTAGCGGAGATTAAGTAAATTTATCATTTAGAAGGTATGACGGGCGAGGGAATGTGTGAAGAGCGCATTGCTTGGGTCCAATGTGGAGGAATCTTAAGTCTTTCGGAGTTCTTTTGAATATCGGGGGTTTCCCTTTGTCTTTTTCGTTCCTGTTTAATCAGCTGCACTATGGCGGTGATTCACGAGGTTGGAACGAGTTAGACTGTAGGAAAAAATACAGGGAAACCTGCCGGCTCCACTGGTCCTGTATCCATAGTGGACGTAGAGTTTTAGCTCAGGACCATTCGATTTAAAAGAAAAATTCGAGAAACCCCCATACTGCCCATTTGACCCTTCTATCCGTGTCATCTAGTGACCTACGAATCGAATTGTAATTGTTTGCTATTGGCGGCATTCAAAATGCCTCCGACGCGTAAAGCGCCCAAACACGCGATCAGCGAGATTGCCAAAGATCGCGGCAATAAATGTTATGCTCAGCTATGTAGTATGGTAGATCTAGTAGCTGGTGCATAGCTAGTTGTTATGGTAGCATGGCATTATGGTGTATGAAGGAGATCCTGTCTCTATATAACGACATTACAAGTAGTAATGTATGCAGTACGAGAGATGGGTTGTTGGTATAGTATAAATAGCATGGCTACTCATTTGGGAGCACACTTTGGTGAGCTGCAAACTAGTTACGTGATGGGTCTACAAGCGAACATGCTAGAGGATAAAGGACGAGCTGCCCCAAACAGTGACATAATATATATTATTCATTCTCCTGATTTGGCGCCTTAAGGCTCATGCTGGTATTTATCGAAAGATATGTACTTTAAGTAGGATGACTCAATTTGACGTTTAGAATACTCTGACTCTAATTTTATTTCCAGACATCACTCGAAGTTAACCCTTACGGCGTATAACCTCTTCCGTGCACACCCACCACAGGGAAAAGCGTGAAAACCCTGTGGTTACCCGAGTGTGCTTTCCTCATCTTACTTGCACATTATCACCAGGGGAGAAAGTGGTGTGTGGGTCTGACTGGATGCGAATGAGCATTCTCCTGTATCGAATGGGATAGGTGTTCAAGGTACCCATAATCTACTTGGGAGGACGGCCCGGATGGTGTACCACTGCACCAAACGACCCCAGTAACACATTAATTAACAACGTTACTTCAATTCTGCACATTAATGAACATATCTTCCCACAAACTATCTTTGCTGTTCCAGCGCAAGTGTACATTCCCAAATCATATATTAATCATAATAATAAACCCTACGAAATGCATGAATCCATACGAACCATCGCAAGACAAAAACTATCGGAGAAAGGAGTAAAGGCCTCCGATCAAAATTTAGATACCATCGAGGCTGCGCTCACAGCTAAGGGTGGTAATGTCCCCGAGGTAGAGATGTTGGACGCCGAAGTTCAGGAGTCGAAATCTCATTGCAGTCCACACCACCTCCAGCACTAGAAGCATTAGGAGAAGCAAATTCATATCCCCCGGAGTTCCGTGCAGCGACCGAAGCGGAGGAGCGCCGGGAAATTCACAATTTGCTCGACAGCTATAAGTGGCGTCGAAACAGCTCTTCAAACGCCCTGTACCGGTGAAAATCAAGATTTTGTAAACTCCGTCAAAGTCTATCTACGTGCAGCGATTGCGCAATCGTGGCAGCCCGACCGAGCACCGCTCCGCCAGTCCTGTCCCGACGGCCAAAGGTCGGGACCCGTCTTCCACCGTCATCCCAGTGGCCGTACCCCGAAACATTACAAGGGCTACCATATCTCCCCCATCTAGAAGCACCAGGGCCACTGTCACCCGAGCAGGTCACCAAATGTCAGGTGCATAGATCACTGCGAACATCCCCTCGGGCGCGGCTGCTCCAACAGCCAGAACAGAAGAGAAGCAAGCAGCAGCGACACGGCAAGATGATCGACTCTTCCTGTAACTCTATGAAAAACACGAGTGGAGACAACTATCTCCAGCTGATAATCGTGAAGTAGTCGCTAGATAGACACAATGCGCCCCTGCCAACGTCAACCAAGTTCAACGCGTCCCTACTGGTTTTGCCATCCGTGCCAAAAATGCGGACGCAAAAACCCGACTGCTGGATGCCCCTAGCTCTTTCGCACCGGTGGAGGCTAAATTAGAAACGCCAAGCAATCTCATTTCCCTCCGGATCGCTACGGTTCCAGTCGCAGTCTACAGCTTAGGATGGCGAATAGAAGTTACTGCCGAAATGGTGGCTGCAGAAATCCTCAGATTTACAAACTTCCCTCCGAAACGAGGAAGGATTCACAGAAAGACCAATATCGGGGCCCCCTAGATATCGTGGATGGCTCTGTTTCTCAAAGAAGCTAGCTCAAAGCCTGGCTTTAGGCTCTTTGACGACTCGGTAGTAGCCACAATACAACGAAACCGCCCTCCGACACAGCAACATAGGGATTGGATGGCACAGAGATACTTTGAGAAATTTTTGAAGTGGTTTTAATTGTCTGTCCTATTAAGATCTCACCTCATTAGCTTATATATGTTACAGGCTGCGCCTATCTCCTAGTGACTGTCGCACGGACACTTATCATTATTACGTCATTAGCCTTGCTATCTAAAGAGATGTCCAACTTGGCCATAAAAATACAGGGTTGCAACAAATATGGAAAAAAGATATTGTTGCAGCAAGTCTCATATGGAATCATGGGCCGATACGACCCAGATTCGCTATGAAGAGCCCACTCAAAATATCAAGGATATGGTGTAGTAGAATAGATAGTGAGGTTAGTGCATTGGGAGTTGGGACACCTTAAGCAGCCTCCCCTCGGTGGACAGTTCCGAGATGTATATAGAAAATAGACAGTAATCGGCCACCATTACTTTACTATATTGTTTTGTTGATCGCCCATCACAATATACATGCGAACCATTTATCATCTATCATATTATTTCTACTTGGCCTATCAGCCTTAATTGAGCTGAGCTAATTGAGTAAGACGCAGTTTCGGATGTCAATCTCCTAAAAATTACAACCTCAAGTATCTCTAGGACGAAGCGCGCGCATAAATAAAATTAACGAACATGATTTGGTAAGCCTAATCAAAGCGCGCGCGTAAAGGAAAAGGGAATGTCATTTGCTGAAAATTTGCAAAATAACTCTCAATCAAATTAAGATAATTTAGCGCGCGCAAAAGACTGGTGCTTCGACAGTAGGCGATGTCTTGTTGGAAATGGAGACACAGAGTGTTGTGGAAGTACGGGCTGTTGGAAATATGGCGCAATGAAATGGGCGCAATATTTATGGAACGAAAGTACAAGTTGACTGAAAGGGTGTCATGTTCGGATTTCAGCTAGAAGTGTGGGAAGTGTGCGCTACAAGCACAAGTCTAAGCGACACATAGTCTAAGCCACAGCATAAACGAGTGTGGCGCCATCTAGGCATAGAAACCCCCCAATAACCTTCTTGTGCCCACGCCATACAGCCACTTATATATCCAGTAGGTAGCCTGAAGCGCTACCATGTTACCCGTTCCAACCTGTAAAATACACTCAAGATCGTGTCGGGAACCTAGACGAAATGGAGGGCCCGTACGTTCACAACACTATGTCTCCATTTCCAACACTGATCGCTCCAGCATCGACACTCGAACAGTGACACATCCAACCAGTACCTTTGTACCATGAGCTGTACTCTTTCAGGAGAGTAAAAAGGCTCAATTTGCTACTACTTCCCACCGGAAAGAATCAGTTCTAGGGGATAGAAACATGATTCCCTACCCTGTAATAAGCCTACGCGTGAGACTTTAGAACTCATCACTCGTTTAAATGTGAAGATAGTGAGCAAGACATAAATTTTTAGATTTTATCTAGTCGTGCGCAATTACAGACCCAGTACTGACATTCAATTATCTCTTGTACTCATTTTGACTTTACTGTACTAGCCGCATGCCATCATTTTGGGGACGTATAACACCTGCAAGCCGAAATCGCCATACCATTCCATCCGTCTCCTTTGAATTGAAGAGAACCCGAGCATTTACCAAACAACCATGAAAACTCCATTCAACGTGTCTAACTTTCACTTGATCCTCCGTCGTGTCAATGCTAGCGATTCGAAGTGAAACTCCAACCACAAACGCTGCTAATCTTGATCCATAATAGGTGAATTCTTTGAGTTCTTTTAGCTGGCTGGCGTATCTACTTTAATTTCGGGCTGTTTGGGAGTGTGTCCCATAACAGTAGTTTTCTCTTCGTCCTTAGTAATGCCAGCTGTAGAGTCAGTACGATCAGTTTTTTTTACTATTCCAGTGCGAGCGTCCCAACAGGATCCAAACTTGGTTTTGGAGAAAAGTGCAAATCTTCTTGTTTTTACCCTGGAGCGGATATAAACAGCGTATAGATTGCAAGAATCGTCAATGAAAATGACAGGGATTGGTTTTGCTTCACTCTTTTTGATGCTTTGTTGATTCTGAAGAGGATACATGTAGTGTCGATTTTTGAATATTCTACTCTTGCCTTTCGGGTTATAGTAAAGCCCCTTGACTTTCCTAGTACGAATCCACATGTAATGCTTGCGACTATTAAACTCCTTGCAGGCATTTTCTGCTGCTTTATCAACTCCTGCTTTTGTTATGGTCCATTCCCCACAGGTCATGCCACTATCGGGAAATCCTTGGTTACCGGGTTTTCCGTGATAATATGGAATGTGGCCCATGTACTCCTTTTCATTAATATTGGTAGATTTATTATCTTCAGCGGGGTTATTTGATGTTTTAGGTCGAATTGAACTGACGGCCCAGACGAAGGAAAGACCAAAGAACGATAAAAAGAGTGAATATTGCATACTGACCGATCCCTTAATAATATATGGGCTGAGACAGAAAAAGAGAAATGAGATGGAAAAGAATGAATGGCAAGAGCTGCGTGCAGAGACTTCCATCAGCGATAGCTCGGCATTTATATAGCCGTACAAACATTTCTCACGCCGACTGTCCTCATAGAATAATCCCAAATAGCACAGAATAATCTCCACTGGCCAAGCTTAAATTCGTTTCTCGGCATGACCTCAAACGCTATCTTACATGGATATACTTTTATCGTCACCATGAGCCCTGGGGACTGGGTTACTGGCCTGGAAAGGTATGTTTGAAATTTAACACGCGAGACAATTGGCATTTTCCTCACCCCTCAAATCTGGGACATGAGTCGGGATAGGTGAGATAATGGGAGATCAGAGATAATCTGGGGTTGAAAGTAGGTCTAGCCATCGTAAATGCGTTCTTCTATTGTTAAGTGCGAATATCTCTCAAGCTTTCTGCATCACAAATCATCTCTAGCCCTCTAAGCTGACTAGGGGTCGTTATTTCTTCACAGTATCCCTGACTCGATTGCCGTATGAATGATCTAAACTCAGCCACTCAAGTACAATGCCCTCGCAGCCGATTCTCTATATTCAACATGTAAACACGCGTGTTTACGGAATGACTCTCATTTAGGGCTGGCATTGGTAGGTAGATTATTGTCTGGGTAGCTGAATCACCCACCTGACTCTTTGATGACACGGACCGTCGTCGAGGTTTGAAAAGTGAATGTTGAGAAAGTTGGGAAATCGCCATTTTTCAATACTCTTCGGTCATCCGTAGATCATTCACTAAGGGTTCGAAAATTATCTCCAACTCTGTTCTACTACCAGTAACATCAGTGAAGTTACATTCTCAGCAAAGATAAGCAGCGAAATTCATAGAACTACACCCTTCCCGAAAGCGTACTAACCCGACCCGTCGTTAATTCGCGACGATTCTGTGAGATGACTCTCAAACCCGTAATTGTAGCAGACATATCAGAAAAATTTCCTGACTGTCGAAATGTTTATCAACATATTTCATCTCACTTAATCGAGTGCACTGCAGCAACTTGACTCCAACCATGCACGATTAGTACCTCGAATCACCATCTGGTTGACAGTTCTCCTCATAACTCGTTTCCTGTGCTGAATATGTGAAACGGGGTGTGGAGAAGTGCGTAAGACTTAATGTTCACAAGGGTAAAGTTTCAGCGAGCATGCCCAAGTCTTGGCCACTTCTCATAATGATCCAGGAATAGCACATGATGATTTACGCATGTCAGCATAAATGATATGCAACAGTGCTTAGTAATCATGACATTGCGGACTGATGGATGGTCGGAATCGTCACAAATTGGTTGATTTACCAAAAAAATGTAGCTGTGGTCAGTTGTGTTTCTAGTGACCACATCGAGCATCTTTTCCACACATTTACCTCCCAGAACATGTCGACACTGAGAAACAGAACGCCCAACGTTTGCTTCGGTGGATAGAGGTCATAGAAGATAACTTCGGTCACCACAGCAGCAATTGGCGAAAGTCAAGGTTTCGACGCAGAGATTAGTCTCTTGCTGGATATCATGGTGATAATCAGGGAGACGAAACTCGATACCTGCCACTGATTTCCTCTGCGAGACACGATCTCTCATTGTAAAAGCAGCAAAGCCGAGATTGAGGAAGACCTTTGTCCTCACTTCAATGAGGATTCCCAATCGCTTTTGCAGTCTGTATCTTCTTCAACTCTTCACACAACCCCTATCACCATTATTACGAAGCTAACCACAATCTCATCATATGTTAGGGTCGAAGCTCTACTTATTATCAGCCCTTAATGACGGAGGAAAAGCCATCCAATGAGTTTCCGGAGCGTACCCAGTACCTGATACGGAGATGGTGGATTGGATCAATTTGGCCTCTAATGCTACAAAGAAGGGAGATTTAGATGAATATGCGCACCTCATGTGGTCCCGGTGTCTAGGCCTCGTCTGGCTGGGGCTGCAGGTTTTTCGAGACTTTTTCTCGCACGCAGTTTCCATACCTACCTTAGTCCTCCATACCATTAGACTCAGTAGGGACTATAATACAGATCTTATCTAATCTATCCACACCTACCTCTTTAGATTTTTTGGGTAGAAGGTTCCGTGAAAAAGGTGGCTGATCTTCACCGGTAGATACTGAGCTGAAAGACTATTCATCATGGGTAATTTTTCAGAGGTATTTGAACTAACGAGTATGAATAGGAGCATTACACAGTCTATTGCCTAGGTCAGTGAGGAGCTCAACCTTCAAGATCGTCTAAAACTCAACTAGCACAACAAACCAGACAACGCGTGATTCAAACGAAGTACCGGGCACTGGACCTCGATATATTTTTTGTTCATAATTTTCATAGCTCATTTTGGTACAGTTAACCTGGTAATATCGAGTTTTCTGGGGTCAAACACTTTTAACATGTCAAATTGTATTCATGGCTTGTGCCAGGCAAGTTAAAATAACAAATGATCAATTACCTCCCAGTACATAATGGTATGCAAAATATCTTGAAGAAAATTTTCATTTATTCTTCCACAAGCGTAATACCTAGACTTTACTAATAGAGTCTACTTTAAAATCCTAGATGACCTCTTAGGTTAAATGCTTCTCTTCTCCTTCAGTTGTCGATGATGTATCGCACGGACTGGTTTGAAGTTATTGTGGGGCTAAAGCCAACATGAAGTCGGAAACTCCACGCATAACATGATCTACTTGCACCCAAAATCTCCATTTGGGAGACCTCTGATGGGCTAACTTTAGATCCATAATTCTACAACAAATTTGTGCCGATCACTTGCCGGTAAAGACGGATTCTTCACCTTCCAGTAGTGCCAGTGTAATCGCTCAGTATGCTCTGCATATTTGGGATAGCCAAGAAGAATCGTATCCGAATCGAAGTCGAAATCAACCTCAGGCACATCTCCATTTGACGACTTCTCAACCATGCAGCACTCATCATTATCTTCTGAGTCCTCAACCCCGATCTAACAACATATCAACTCGCCTCGCCGACCGATAAAGGCGTCACCCCAATTGCAAACAGAAGCTTGCCTCATTCATTACCGGCCATCACTCACTACAAATTTACGACGCTACGTATACCCGCAAGGAGGAAATTAAGTCATAATATACAAAGTTGGGGTCTTAGTTTATGGGAGACTGCTGCTCTATTGGGGTTATACTTCTTGAGGAAGGATAGGCGGCTGAGATGTGGAGCGAGAGGGGAAAGAAGTCTCTGAAGACCATGCTGGGACTGACATTTTCGAGGGGTTTTCAACTTTGATTTTTTTGTGGGCGCCAAGACCAAGATTTCGGCTAATTAGCCAGGAGTGCTTCTTTTGTCGATGAGTCAATGGCACTCCCCAGCGCCCTGGACGGTACAAAAGAAGTCGGGCTAAGCTACTATACAGCAATCACGCTCTGTCAAGGCTTTTCCGACATTTCAGAACAACCTTCGAGAAGGAGTTGAAAGGAGGCTAGAAAGGCAGAATGTGTATTCAGCGAGGTACTCAAAGTGTTACGCTACGGTCAATCTAGGTTTACCCGAATCTACTCATGATATGACTCGGGTCGGAGAAGCTAATGCTGATACATGATGTGTATCAAGGAAAATATCTTTTTGTTCGGATTTTACATAACTCATACTTTGAATTGGGTTCACATTTATGTTTCCGATGATATTCTCATCTTATCTGTCCTGAGCACGGTTTGGTATGTTTCGGTGGTAGCATTATTGCCAGCGAGTTATCTAGTAGGTTTTCAAATGAGGAAAACTATGTATTTTAAATACTCGATAGCCAGAGAATAGAGAAGCAACCCTTCGATGATTTGTTACCTTCTACTCCCATTTCCAAAATAGTCCAACACATAAGTCTACAGCGCCTAGCTGGCCGGCCTCCTCGAGCGCTTCAGAAGGATCACTATGTCATCAGAAATAGTCCTAATGTCGGTATTAGAAGAGCTCCGCACCAAGTGGTTTTTGCAATTTTTCCCGGCTGCCATTCACCCGCAAATGGCCATCGTTTCGTTGACTAGAGAGGGGAGATAATGAAGGGCAAGGGCTCCTCTTAGTGTATGATCGAATGAGGACTTGTGAGGGGTGGTACTGTCTGAGGAGAGTTGTATGGGATGCATAGGAGGGGATATACTACTGGTATAGGTATCCTTAAACTGTAGACAGAGAGAGCCTGCATGTCCCACATAGTCACAGACTCCGACAGAACTAAAAAAGGATTAAAAAAAATAACAATAGTGAGGAACTCATAAATCCACATCTCAGTTATCTCATACATCGTGACCCATAAACCTCTAAGTCTGAAATCTCGGGTGGTATTTATATCACAAGCTTTCTGTAGCAGTAATAACAATTGGTGGCTAACATGTCTCTTCGTTCTTCTCTTTTAACAAAAGGAAATACGGACATACAGAAGTTGCCCCTCCTTTGTCCAAAAGCTTCTCGGGCATAAGTGCCTTGAGGATTTTACAAATTTTGCGCAGGAAACCGGCTGCTTCGGGGGCCAACCTGCGAGTCCGTCACCAGCTCTCAGCGGAAACAACATTAACTAGGTCATAGCACGAAGCATGACAGGAAGGAAAACGAGACGAGGAGTGTCGCTTTCCCACCTCAAATTGGAGTATTGAATTTGGAATTTTGGTTATGGGAGTCTGTGAGAGCATTTATATTCTTTCTTATGACTAGCTACTGGTTGTGTAGTGGGTCACGCAGTGAGACCGAGTCGGGCATGTGGGAAGCATGATCTTGGCCGTGTACACCGGTCCTTGACTCCTAGGAGATATAGAGCACAGCTTAGGACCTAAAATTTATAAAAAAAAAAAAAGAAGTTGTCCCTCTCTCCTGACGCCATTCCTAAACAGGTAACTCATTACTCATCACAATAATTAGTCATCATTTCTAAGATAATACATGAATGGTCATTAAGTCACTCGTCACTCTACCACACCTCTAT